TACTTTCATCCTTTGAAAACCTAGAACAAAATTGTTTATGTGGTTATTTGGGTTACATACCTACCGATGCCAATGTTCCAAGAAATATGAATAGCTAGTCTATAATAGGTACCTATCTATTTACGTTCTTGATTGCATTCACATTCAAAATACAATGCAATGCAAACAAAATTAATGCCGAGAAACTTTTTGTCTTTCATACCGAGTCCGTCCTCTGTTATGGCAACAGTACTTCAGTTGTCAGAATTGGAATTTCCTATCATGATTTATCGTGATTACTTCTATTTCTTTACTTTTAGGATATTAGTTTTCACCGGTAGTATCTTAGATAATTAATCCTACGTAAAAAATGTTACATGTTACGATAATAATTAAATAAACTTCGAAAAGACTCAAAGACTTTTCAGTACACAACAAAGACACATAAAAACTTACTGATGAAAGGTAATCCTGGTGTTCTATTGTAGGTAGCACTTTCACATCGATACGCACTGTACTTCACCATAGTAATTGAATAATCTCGTTTTGTAATATAGTTTCATCAAAGCTATATTCTTAATAAACACCGAAAAGACGCATGTCCGATAAGTCATGTATAAAATGGCGGCGAGGAATAAAAATGACACGCGTTGACATTTGTTGATGTGTGAGTCAGTATTGCAATACATGGAAGAATGAGATGCCACTATCGAGTTGTAGCTGAGTACAAAAAGGATAAAAGATCATGCTTTAATTCATAAATATAACTAGGTTTTATGTTCCGTCTGCTATAGTATTATATGTCTGTGAATAAAACAAACATTATTGCACAAGTCACAATTTTATTTTATAGATTACTTATAAAACAAATGGTAGTCGTCTTTTTGTATTTGCAAATTAGGTGATAATAATTGAGACGTCTGGTACTATATCCGGGTGAATGTTAAAAAGAGCTTAACCTGTTAATCGCTCATCAACATGTTAGTAGAGGTGTAAAAGTAATGAAAAAAAGCGTACCCGTATGTATTCGTTACTTTAACAATTAGTACTCCTTACTATAGTATCGTTACGTTACACGTTACTTCTCATAAAAAAATCGGTTTTACTATTTTGAAATTTTTAACCGTGAGCTTATGTTATATCACAATAACATCGCAATCCAATGATAAAGCAACAAATAGGTGTCGAAAATTATTGTATTGATAACAATACTTATACTATAGCATTCTAACGATAAATCAACATAAAAATAGTTTTGCTTAGAATGCAATTAAACATAACGAAAGAAAGAACTACCACAAAAATCTTTTGTTCTCAAAATAAAATTATAAAAAAAATAAAAATATTTTAAACGAAATCTTCTAAGTTGGATTTTTCGATAAGCTTCTGTGAGGTAGTCAACACGACAATAAAGTTCTGACGTCCATTTGACCGGAATAGCGTATATTTTAACGATTCCACTAATTCTTCAGTTACGTAGACGGTTGTAACACAAAATCACACCAATTTTATTTCACAATATCCACTATAAACGAATTTAAAAATAATTAAAATAAGACGCCAACCGCACTCGATGAAATCCCGCTAAAAACTCGTACGTACGTTACTATATTCTCCGCATATGCTCGCGCATGCTACACACATCAACTGTACTTGCGTAAACTGAAACATAAAGATAGTCATAATACGAAAAATGCGAGTAACGAAATTTATTTGTGTGTAACGTTTCGTTACTCGGTACTAGATGGCGCACCCGTTACTCAGTACCGAATACATACGGTTTGCTACAGCTCTACATGTTAGCTCTCAACCATGTTTTTACACACCTAAGCGTAGAAAAGGATCGCTCTGCTGTCGCACCACTTATGAGTTGCCAGAATTTTGAAAAATGTCTTTATATTTGGGTATAAAATCATTACAAACTCCAATGGTAGAAACTACACACTTAGGAAGATTTGTATCAGCATTTTCTGTGACCTCCCGTTTCCACTTTGTAATCCATAGCCGATACCTACTCTGTAACGACAGTGGCTGCAGGAACATTTAAAAAATGGGAATAGAATTTAGATACTTTCTTGACAATAAGAAGATCTTGTTCTGTATATTCAGATTTCGGCATAAAAATGCCTCATCCGAACAAGTTTATTGTATCCGCAGAAAGTCGGTCTTGTAGATCAGTAATTATTATGCTATTTATAAGTGGAGTATAAACAGTCCTTCGAAAATATTCCTCGTTATTTCCTTCATAATTATCGCGAATTCTGCCGAGGCGCAGTATGAGGTTTCATTTCCTTTCATTATTTGGCAAATTTTTGAGATTTTTCAATTTGACCTTAGACTCGGACCGCGCCTGAGGTATAGATAGGACCTAACATGATAGAGCTGCACACTAAGAGCAACAATTCAATGGCGCGGCAAGGCGAGAGTTATACTTACTTACTAGAACACCCTGCTGCGCTGCTGGTGCGAAAAGAATGGATTTTTACAGAATTAGGAATCGAAGTAACCTGGTTTCTTTCCCCAGTACAACTTAGCACTGGCATATTACCAGTACCTACTACATTAGTGATTTTCATTCATATTACGTGGAATTTTTGAACAAAAAATATGTGACCTCGTGATTTCTCGTGCGTTACATCAACACCTAAACTGCAACAGGAACAAAGAGTATCAGCGGTGACTTCATAGTTTAATGACACTTGTACATGACGAATCGAGTGGATGTACTCAAGTGTACAAGGTAGGTATACCTACATGGTACGTAATATCCATTGAGTAGTATTTATCATCTGATTAATTTGCCAATTTTAACGCTCCTCTAGTAAACATACTGGAGCTGGATATTCCATGCCTTTGTCCACGTATCGCACCTGAAATACTAGCCAATAAAGGAGGGGAGCGGGGGGGGGGGGGGATTAATCAGCTGACCCAGCGAACTTCGTACCGCCATAAAAATGGGGGCAGGTGGTAGAAGAGAAAATTTAGGGTTATAATTGTATTTTTAATACCACATTATAAAATAATAAATATTGTCCAAAAAAATTTTAGGGGTGTGTAACGTAAGTGTTCTATCAATTTCCTGGGATAACATTCCTCCTAACCCATATGAGAGCACTACGTTACAATACCCAATACTTTGAATTTTGGCGCGAAAGCGAGTTGTAGGTTTAGGTAGGTAGGATATGAAAAATAGATAGTAGCCGATTCACAGACCCACGGAATATGCATACAAAATTTCATAAAAATCGGTCAGGCCGTTTCGGAGGACTATGGTTACTAACATTGTGACACGAGAATTTTATTTAAAAGATGTATTTTGTTTAATAGTGCAATAAAGAATATTCATTCATTCATACTAGGTAAGTGCGCCTAAAAAGGGCCGGTTCCAAATAAGGTCCATCTTTTCAAACTTCCCGCACTTAATATTTAAACCAAAACTGATTTTGCGCAGCGCCTCCCCAGTAACCAATCATAAAAGCGCACCGACGTTCATTGCCTCCGCGCCGGCCATTTTGGCAGTGGCTCTGTGTGTAACCTCAGGTGCAGTCGACGTGACTGAACGAATAAAATATTCTGATCCAATTTTGCTTTGTTTCAGTAATAAAACTCGGTGTTATGTAATAATTTTGTAATAGTAATGTTAAAATACTTTCAGAACGTGGATTGACGGGATATGTTACTAAAATTATTGCTTATTTATCTAAATTTTGTTTCATTTTCTCAGGACACATGTGATTGCCTAAGAAGGTCCAAGTTGTTGTCTACAAATAAGGGCCGGCCCTTATTGGTTTACGATATTTTAAAATAGGCATGATCAGTTACATAAATGACTTATATGAGTGTAAATAAGCAGCCTGGCCTAGCAAATGGCATTTATATACGTTTTTTTTGATTACTGAATAGAAAATATATTTAATAAGGATAAGTATATACACACTGAACCTTTAAGTTCAGTGGTTACCGTGTTACCTGTTAGAAACACTTAATAAGGTCCACACTATGATTAAATAAGTGTTATACCTAATAAGGTCCCAAGATTAAGACTGAAAAAATAACTCATTAGTAACTTTTAGTGATTGTCTTTCGTAAAATTAATAAAAATTTGCACAAACCTTCAATTTGTTTCATTTATAGCTAGAAAATATATAAGTTACAACTTATATATATTTCGTATGACTTTATAAGGGCCACAATACTAAATTATATGAATTACCGTTTTAATATTGGAAAGCCATGAAGTTGAAAGTAGTTTAAAGCCGTTGCTATCTAAAGATTTATTTTTTCTGATACTCAACGTCTGAAATCTTGCAGTTCAATCATGGACCTTAATTCGAGCCCTAGTACACAATAAGGACCATAAACAAGCTTTTAAAAAACTTTTTTTGTAAATAAATGGTCATTCGTGTGTTGTTTTTGTGCAACGTTTTCTTTTCAAATAAAAACAGTTTGGTTGATCATGACGTCGTACTAATTATCACACTTCCAAACATTGATTTATTTCGATTTCCAAAAACCCGGCCCTTATTAGACGCAATTACCTTACTGTTATGCCATACCTGGACTGAACATGAAAGTTTTTCGATTATTTCCTGCCTGCTGTAGGATAGAAGAACGAGGAATAGAATGTCATAGTAATATTTGGAAGCACGTGAAAACCCTAAAAATGACAAGCTTGTCATTAAGAAAGTAATTTTTTGGAGTAAGGTTAAAGTAGGTGCCTACTTAAATAGTTAACGAAGTTTAAAAATTTTCAGAACAATATTTTTTGTTGTTAGTGTCTGGATAGCGAAGGATGTTGGTTTTCAGCTTGATACTTGTACGATAAATATAAAAAAATATCAGTCATGGCTTCAGTCAAAAACTAACAGCATCAGAAGTGTAACATTAAGTTATTAGAAAACTGTCATTGAATGTGCTTAAAAAATTATCAATTCTTATTTATTCAATAACTACAATAAAACTCAATAATTTTGAATTATTTGTTATATAAATCAGTTGCGTATAAAATAATGACATAAATAGCGAATATAAAACGAGTTCACAAAATGGGACGATTAAGATGAAATTAAAAACAACGCCATCTATCGGCGAACCAGAAAATCTACGCGGATGGCAGGTTTAATTTAATTGTTTTCTACGTCAGTTGCAGCGATGCTGGTGGGCATGTACTCGAACAGGACCGCCTTCTTGTCGTATCCGCACCTGAAGATGTTCCATGCCAAGTCCTCGGGAGTATCTCCGCTCTGGTCAGAGCAACTGTCTAGCACCTGTGAGAATTTATTGGCAAACATTAGTGTTTGTGGTACAAAATATTGATTTATTTGTGATGATAATAACGCCGTATTCGGAGCGGCGGAACTATATTCACCTCTAATTAGTAATAGGCAACTTAGATTTGCAAGCATTCAACTATGAAATCAATGAACACACATGTAATTTCTGACGAAATATCATCATGCGATTGCATTGGGGTACAGAGCATATTGTAGCAGATCAGTTAAACGATTGCAAACGCAGCCGGAAGCAACGTCTTTACGTGGCTATCGAAGCACATGAATTTAAAAATTGCAGTTCGAAAAACAATTTGACGAACCGGATGCACAAAATTACTATGGAAGGAAAACTCTATTGAATAGCTTGGATATGGAGGATTGTACTAGCGTATTAGGTTTCTAAAGTAAAGTAAAACAAATCCTGTTAGAAGAACTTGATAAGCAAAGCACAACTGTTTATTAACATACATTTTGATTGTAGTACGTATTCTATCTTTCATGTTAATTTATTTATCTTAAACATATTTTCATTAATTTATTTTGTTAAAAAGAACAATTTTCAATATAACTTGTGATATCTGCATGTGAGGATATGTGCAGTGGCGGCGCTAGACCACATGGGGACGTCGGCGACATCAAGTTCGCGAGGCCTATTTTAATTCGTAGTAAAAAACCGTTAAATTAAGTAAGCCAAATTATAAAATAACGTATGAGTAAACGAGTTTTATTGTTAATAATCAAATGATGACAAAAAATAATTACAAACATAGAAATTTAATTACAAAAATAGTGTTGCCAGACAGACGATTCTGAATGAATACCCGTAAAGTACTACTCGCTTCCATCACGCACGTGTTCGAAAATAATAAAAGTCATTATCATCTGCTTAGCTTTTTCACCGAATTGTTCGGGGTCGGCTACCTAAGCTAGGCCAGGAGAAACGAAAATAAATAGGTAACTTGTAAAAATTTTCTGCGGGGCCCCCTCAGGCGCGAGGCCGTCGGCGGTGGCCGACGTCGCCGACGCCTAGCGCCGCCACTGGATATGTTTATGTAATAAGTGAATGGTTTAATTAAAGTTCAAACTAAATTAGATAAAAATATATGCCTACATTGTTTTTAACGAAGTTCAAATTGATGTCTGATTAAAATGAGTGCCAATAAACTGTTAATTGGTTTGGCGAAATTAAAAAGTATAGTAAAACAGTGAAAACAATATTTGATTAATAAATTTAAAAAAGAAGCTGACAAAAATATTAGTCATCCATCAAATAAATCGGCTTTTGTTGAAACTTTTGGCTTAACTTCCGTAACCGGTTGGTGCGGAATACACCTAACACATATCTGGCGCATCAGCTCTCACTCACTATCACATCCGATAAGAAGGTTGTTAGTACCTCTCGAACACTTAATGATGGCTCTCTAGAAATTCGACGGTAGAACGGAAAACCTACATTGCGCTAACGGAGTTCCAGGGCATATCGTCCGCTTAACTTTGTTTGTTTAACAATCCCACAGGAACCTTACATTTTTCCGGGATAAAAAGAATCCTATATCTCAATCCAGGTCATAAAATATAGTGGCGTGCCAAATTTCATCCAAATCCGTTCAGTAGTTTTTGCGTGATCGGGTAATAAACATAGAAACTTTAACATTTGTAATATTATTAGAAATATAATTAAGGGCACACTACTTACCTTGGTGGCATTCCTCCCGTCAGTCCTATTCGTCATCTTGCCGAGCACCGCCGTCTTCTGCAGCTTGCCGTCCTTCCCTATCACCTTGCACTTGAGCAGGACGCAGTATACGTGTTTCCTGAGCCGTGGGTCGTCCGTCAGCTCGCCGCTGAGCATCCCCTCCACCAACTTCGGGTCCACTTGGGATTGGGGCAGGCAGGCGTCGGAGTGGGCACGGAACATCGCCTTCTCCTCTTTGCCAAGCGTCTGTAATTGAAAAGAGATAGAACGAGTATAGAATTAGCGGGTTTCCTAACCGCAAAAAAACAAGGTGCATCCCATAGATGAATGATTGGTCTCGCTTCACTCGACTAGATACCGCCGGCGTATTTGTCTAATGCGGCAACAAATACTATGCCGAAATCGGCATACCCGAGCTTTTACCGAGTCAGTCAACCTGACAGTTGTGTATGGGGTGTACGTAGTGAATGTTTTATTAAAATTTGGTGTTAATCGAAAGTAAAATGCCAGTTTAAGTAGTGAAATAATACATCAATAAATAACAAGGACGCTGGGATCACATAACATCAATAAGTATAGTAAAATTTCGAAATCTCAACATAAAATAACATGAACCCTAAACGTCATTCAGGTGTTGCCGCGTATACAAGAATCAAGTCCCTCTATGGTTGAGATTTTTATTTATAATGTGAATTTGTTGTTACAGTTTTTTATTATTGAACCTATGTTTTTGAAGGTAATGTCAAAATACGAGTTCTTGGCAACAAAGCTGCAAAGGTCAGTTGAACTTTATAACAGTTACTAACTACAAGTTTGTTTTTTCGTCGCTATTGTTTTGAAAAACGTCGTATGCAGCTCGTGTGCATTGGTCATTACACGCTCAGCTTCCTTACCGAGTTACAATAATGTCTCATTTATAGTTACCAACTTATCATATTTGAATCACTGTTATAATGTACTAGTAAATATTACATGTAAAAATAATTTGAGGCCTAAGCATTTTTAAAGAAGAAACCTACGCCTAATTGTATAAGTACACTAAAATATTGATATATTCTCATTTAATTAAGTAAATCTTCTTCAAGTATTTTATTAGCTACATTTATAACCTGCCCCCCTAGCATGAGCACTGCGATATGATATATCACGCTCAATTGTCAAATTACTATGGAGTTTGACAGTTAGGCGCGATAAAAAACGTGATACAATGTAAATTGTGGTGCTCATGCTACGGGGACAGGTACATATAAATTGTAACCTACAATATTTTCCCTATTACTTGGGTAGCAGTTGAGCAGCTGGCAACACGATTTATGACATTTGATAGCTTCATTGCAAATTGACATACACACACTAAAATAATGAGTTGACGCTTATAAGGAGCTGTTGTTTTTTGACAGCGCGGTATCTAGTCGTAGTGTATATATTCTGTGATCTAGTCGAGTGAAGCGAGACCAATCATTTATCTATGGTGCATCCCTGTTTTTTGCGAGTCTCTGTTATTTACAAGTGCCAGGATCACGGAGTAATTAAACAGTTGGATTATCAGTGTGACCAGATTAAATTTTACGAAAAAAACTTGTACAAAGTATCAACAATTATTTGTTTATGAATGTTTCTTTGTACTTTTTTATTTAATTTGTCTATTTATTGGTAGGTATACATTTTATGTGTGGTACGTGTTGGCGATTAAGGCGTACGGATTTAAAAGGGATGACGAATCGTATTAAGCGTAACAAACCGGCCAAGTGCGAGTTGGACTCGCGCACCGAGGGTTCTGTACAAACTCAATTTAATACATCTAGGCGTTCATGACAAAACAGGTAAGTAACTTTAAAAATTTCAAAAAGATTTTTTATTTTTTGATGCAACTAAAAATTAACGGTTATCGCAATTTTCCTTTATCTGTACTATAGGACGTTACTTCGTACCAAATTTCAATATTCTAAATTCACGGGAAGTACCCTGTAGGTTTTGATTACCGTGCAGTTTCGAAATTTTGCGGAAATTTGCGGCATAAACAGCTGTATCTTTTGATTGCTTTGGCTTAGAAGTATGATTTTTTCACAGCTCCAAGGGACAGTAGACCTGAGTATAAGATATGAATTTCAGTTTGATACCTCCACGCGTTCCTGAGATAAACCGTATTGACAGACGGACGGTCGGACAGACAACAAAGTGATCCTATAAGGGTTCCGTTTTTCCCTTTTGAGGTACGAACGAACCCTAAAAAGAAGAAATGTTATGAAAAAAAAATACTGACGCTCCGAAAAGTCGATTAAATATACCGAAAATGTGTCAAAGTAGGTACTGAATCTGGTCACACGTGGGTTATCCATGGTAGCAATTCCGCTAATAGCTGTAATGTATATATACTGTAGGTATCCTTTATAGAACGATATTTATTGTAAAGTTGGAATCAATCTTTATCGGCCTACATTTCTAGATTAAGTAGATAGCGAAAAAAAGCTTTAAGTACTAGACAGTTAAAGTATTAAAAGTTTATTTAGGTCACTTCACGCTGTGTTTCGCTAATTTACAATATTTTTAAATCTAAAGAAAATTTTTAACTAGAAAAAAAATCTACTCGGTTGTAGGCGTATTCGCTAACTGCCTAACTGCTTTTGGCAGTTACAAGTTATAATCACCGAACTTAGATTAAAACAAAAACCCCCTTATTAATAAACAAGGAATAAGTTTAGATTAGTAACACCGTGTTTTGTTCATGTCACTCAAATGCCATTTGTCATTCAATGTAGTCTTCCTTCTTCTATTCGGTTATTAATCGTTTATTAATTCTTCTTCTTCGTTTATTAATAAGGGAGAGAAAGGGTTTTGCTTTAAATCTAAGTCACCGAGCTATATACTGATCCACTACCTACTGCTTTATTATAACTTTACTAAGATAGGTACTTGTTCTGAAATGCAACAATGGATATGCAAATTCTCTTTAGTTACACATTGTAAATGTCAAAGAAGTTAACGCATAGGCCAGCTAGACAGCGGATTTTTTTCTAGTAAAATTTTCTATATATTCAAACAACTAGCACTTAAATGCTTAAAAGAATAATATAACAATCTCAAGAGGTTGTCATATGAGTGTATTAAGATCAGCGTGTAAGACACCATTATTCTTTTGTAGAACATGATTGAATACCATTTCAGGTATATTTTGTTTGGATGCAGTTCACTGTAAGGTGAAAATGAATTTGTTATTGGATTGAGTACCTTCCTAATAACACGAAACATAATCACAAGCATAGGGCAAGGTTATTGGAATAATATTGAAATCTACTTACTATGCAGTTCTTGCATCCTGTTGTTGCCTGAAAACATTCAATAAAATTTTAGAATCTAAACAGTGGGTAGCATAACAGTGGGTAGCATAATAATAATAATAAAACCTTATAGGCATTTCATAAATCAATCAGATTTTTTTAAAATGTGATATAAAATGGATTGTGATTTATCACTCAAGTGATTTACGCCGCCTTCTCTCCAACTTCCTTCTAGTCCTCTCCATCCAAAGGTTGCCTGGAAGAGATGGCTCTTAGCAATAAGGCCGCCCATTGATACACTAGTTTTAATTTGTTTTGTACTAAATGTAATGTTTTCTGTGGTGTAGAATAAAGCGTTTTGTATTGTATTGTAAATCTAGCATACCAACTTTAAAAATTAACTGATAACATTAAAAATAATATTAAAACAAGTCACCTAATTATAAATTCCTCAACTAGTGCAATATATTTTTAAATATCATGTGTTTATTAATGCCCCTTTTCTGTCACCGCGAGTGATTATGTTATAGAGACATGATCACTTACTATTTTTAATTATCATGTTGATCTGCCCTTTTTTTTATTACGCAGGTAAAAAATCTTTTACAGACGACGGCGCCTGTAAGAGGCACACCGCCGAACGGACCTCACACCTGACTCCCGCAAGTCTTACGGACCCCCCAGTGGCTGCCCACCTGGGACCGCGCAACCCTTACGGGCGCTTTACGGCATAATATCCGCTAAAAAAGTCCTGCGAATACCTTCATACTGCCTGATGCGGAGCTGCGGGTTCCCCTTGGTGGGATTTCTCCGCATCACCGCACCTAGCAGCTTCCCGGCCTCGCCGGGGCTCCACGGCAGGGATCTCCCGAGGTACTGCGGGGACCCCACAGACGTGCGCGATGTTGATCCGCCCTAGATTTTCGACCCTATATATATACCTAAAGAGCCCAGGAATGGTGGGAATACTCCACAAGGTGCAAGTTTGCCCCCCATACGTTATTCTGCCACGCATGTGTTAATCCCAAAATCCCCGCTTGGGCTCCCTCTGCTTTAGCAACAAAGTTAGCAGCTTGCTCATCAATTTTCCTTTCCACTTTACACTCGATTTCATTGTTATAAATAAGGAAGCTTGAGGAAACAGATTGAAATACCTTCGATATTAAATATTTTAAAATTCTTATACTCGTAGTATAAAACCCGCTGGATTTATAAATCTGAAGGAGCAGCAATGAATGGTATTTTTTTCTAATATTTTCTTCATATTTCCATTTTTAAAGAGAGTTAAGGCACAACAGTTTTCTCCTCGAATTGGAGCGCACTTCTGGGGAAGCAATCTCCGACTAACTGAAGATCACAGTAAATTTACACTACCTTTTGGTCATGTTGCGTTTCTGGTGGTGAGAAAGGTTTCAGGGCTCCATGGGGTAGAGGGATGGGTTCAGACCAGCAAGGTGAGGATGTCTGGAGCGGCACACCTCCTGCTGCATCATCTTTATTCGGGACTGGACTCCACTTACACTTAACATCAGGTGGGGTGGGGCAATTTGATGCGTTATGTATAAAAAAATTCTAAGGCTAAATAAGATCCCATTTCTTTGCTTCTCTTATACATATTTATAAAAGGATATCTTTTGTGTCTTCTTTTGCACCCTTCCAAATATGTCTATTATTATTCCTTTTCCGCCATAGGTTGCTTGGAAAAGATTGCTATTTATCACTAAGGCCGTCTATTGTATACTCTTTTTTCAGTTTAATTAGTTTATGTCTTGTGTCCTTTGTTGTGTGCAAAAAAGAATGTTATTGTTATATTCTACTCACTGGATGCACTCCTCCTATGACAGCGAGTAGTCCTAGAGCCAGTAGCCACGTCATTTGCTCAGTCTGAATAGTTTTTGGTGCAGGCGCAACGACAAGTGAAGCAGCACGTAAACCACGAGCAACCGAAGCACCGAGTACAAAACCACTCGCGCGCGCAGCGGTGTGCCGCGTGATTTATGCGCGCACGCATTTTCCTTGGACGATATTGCTCCTACTATGGTCTCGCGAATTGGGTATCGATTTGTTATGTGAAACGTGAATTTTCCGAGATACCTGTTTTCGTGAAAAATTATTTAGTGTGTTTTTTCATTCAATCGAAGAGATTCTTAATTGCAATGCCATAGTTTAAAGTTAAACTATAAATAAATAACTCTTTTCCCATCAAATAGTCTAGCCCCAAAGTAAGCACTATTAGGGATAAGGGATAGAAATATTACTTGCTGATACATATATAAGTATGATATTTTAGAAATGTAAGCATATACAGCCTTAACTCAAGTACAAATACTTGTATACATTCATCATATTTGCCGCTACTGAGATTCGAACATGGGACCTCAAAGTAGGCGGCACCTTGAAAACCATTTCCGTGGTAGAGTGCTAATGTAGGTACATTAGCACTCTACCACGGAAGTGGTCATTTATCATAATATTTGCAAAAACTGTACTAACCGACAGGCAATAGAAAACGAGTAAACAACTTAAATCAACAAGTGATTTTAACTTTAACAATTCAAATCTTCTTGGTAGGGGACAAATAATTTTAAACGGAACACACGTTTGTTTGTTTATAAACACTGAACGGACAGTGTCTCACAACACGGCGCGGTCACACACAAAATATTCATCCATTGTCCCCACGACATCATCATTTACATTTTGGAACCAAAACTACAGTTCCTACCTCATAAACATTCAAACTCACCGATTCGTATTCCGAAAATGAATTCAAACTATGTAATATAGCTCCTCGACTATTGTTTTATGCTGATGAGGTAATTTTTTTCGATTTCGATGAGCATTCGGAAAATTTCACTTTCGATGAATCCCTGAAACAATCCAGTTAATTGAAATGTAAGTATTTAGACGAGTCATGACGAGAGAGGAGCTCGATGGCGCAGATTGTTAACGCGTTCGGCCTGCGATCGTGGAAGTTAAGCAACTTTCGTAATGGCCGGTCATTGGATGGGTGACCAAAAACTAATTATTTCGAGTTCCTCTGTGCCTCAGAAGGCACGTTAAGTCGTTGGTCCCGGCAGCATATGCAATCGTCAGCAACTTGACCCAATTCCCCTTATCCCATCCGTAAGAAAGGCCCGTGCCCCCCTGGTAATGATGATTAGACGAGTCATGGCGTCTACGCTGGATTTGGACAGTTATCCACCAGTATTGGGGTTTTGAATAATCGTTGCCTAACGATCTGTAGATTTTATGAATAAATACTAAATTCGGGATATTTTAAATCGATCTTTTCCGTTTCATTTCAAATCATTAGGCATGTAAGTATATTCGCTTTCAAAAGTGGTATTATAAAGATTCGAGGAAGTGTGGTTGGGAATTTTTTAGTTCTATGGTCCACTTCGAATCGAGTTTTCGATAAATTTATACGAATATTTTGCGTATGACAGTGTTGATCCTCGTGTCACCTTTGTGGCACCGTACCTTTTGGTAAAGGAAACCCGGAATTGTAACGCGAATGTGAACGCACTAACATCTTGCGCCATGGAGCTTTTCATCTATCCCATCTAACATTTTATTAAGAGAAGATACTGCTTCTCTTAAATTAAGTCATTCATGAGGAACAAAATAGCAATCAACACGTCTAAGACACTCCCTTTATAAATACTTCCAGTACATGTACTGTATACTTAAGTACATTCATACCAACATTGCAACATTTACCTTGATAAGTATACACTTGAGGAATATTAAACATCTACGGATATGACTAAAATGTTTCCCCTTTAACGGAAGCGATGCGATTCGGGCTACCAAGGACCAACAACAGCATCTTGATGGAGATGAATGTTTCATTTTTCCACTCAGTGCCACATATACATTTGGCGTAATTAAATTAAGATTACGCGCGTATTGAGTTCAGTGAAGTATCAGCCTTATATTATAGACTAGCAAACCCGGCGAACTCCGTTTCGCCACCAGGTGGCTTCTTTTTGTGTAACATTTCGTTTGGTGATTAAAAGAAGATTTTTTTTTATAATTTTTCCTGAATTTTCTTTGCTATAAACCCCACGGAGCCCGAGACCTTTCCAACGAATGCAAAACCGTGGAAATCGGTTCGTGCGTTCTGGAGTTATAGCGTCAGGAAGGAAAACCCGACTTATTTTTATATAGTAGATATTAACGGGATTGTTACCATGTACCTTGTTTTTATGAGTCTCCGATATTTCGGCACTGTTGCAAGCGCCATGATCACGGAGTAACTAAACATAAAAAACAAGGTACATGATAACAATCCCGTTAATATCTATAATGTTAGTGACCATGAAAGTTTAAAACAAGTACCGGCCTGTTCAGATGATCCGCACGACTTGTTGTGTGCAAACGTACGGGGCTGCGAAAAATGGATAAGGGTTACCGTCTGTTGTCATATCGTCATCTTGATTTCCATTGACGCGCGACGGCGGGCTACCATGTTAGTCTCACCTGTCTTACCATTAATATCATGGTATCAGACCAGAAATGCTCTGTCAACGTCATAGAGGATATGTGGCGTGAAACCATAATAAAAAGCAAACGTGTGTGCCGTCGTGGAACACTCGGTTGGAACGAAGTTAAAATTAAACAAAGTTTAAGTAGGTACATACAGTACACTACAAAACACTATTCTTTCTCGCCTAGATCCTATCTTCCAAGTCAGTACGGTCCGAAAATGATCTTTTTTCCAACAATATGTAATAATAATCATCACCAGCCTATTAATATACATACTTCTGGCCTACAAGCTTTCCCTATAAACGGAATAGGGAGAATGGGATGGAATGGATGGATGGAATAATGACGCATCTTCTAGATCCAGTTGCAGCCGCTATTAACGGCCTTCTGAAGTTCCGAAACACAACCATGCAATACGAGGTGCGAGCGTTGCGCCGATTGGCTCTCCAGTCGTACCCATGCGCAGATATCCCCTCCGCGTTTTGTTCAGCGCTAGAGTTACGTGCCGCGACCTGTATTATCGGTCGATAATATCGAATTCGATATTGGTTCGTGCTAAGGGTACAGATTGATAGAGATGTACCTTAATTTAACGTTAATTGTGTAACCATAATATGATTATTCTTTTTATATTGAATTCCTATGCCCAAGCAGTAAACACATTTAGGTTGATGAAAAAGTCGCAGAACGCGTAGACATTCTTTGGTACTTACCGTGCCTGATATTTAAGAGGGTATAGCAGATTTTAGATGTTTTCCATGCGTTTAACATAAAAAAACTCACTTTTCAGATTGGTCGAGCCGGTGCATGCAGACGCTTGAGGGCGGACGGTGTGGTGAGCTGGTACACAGCTTTTGAATAACACAGGGCGCCATACCAAACGCCAGTAAAGCTGTTATCAGCATCTGCGCCAGCATGCTGGCTCACACAACCTATAATACGTATGTAAATCAGGTTTGTACCTTAGATCGTTCTAAAAACACCTTTTGAATAAGCTTACAAAATAGTTGTGTCAGGAAGAGGTCACCCTTTTTTCATAAGTTTTTGTGTAAATGGGTCACCATATATTTGTCATACGCTGTAAAGTGCAAGCGCAAAATGCTGTTAGATTTTGGCACCTACATCAACATCTTGACTACACAATCATGCGATTTATAATAGGATGATTCAGAGCTGAAGTATCCCTTCGAAAAGGCAGAAGGGATTCAACAGTATTTTGTTGCTTTCGTAAATATCAAGATAAATATTTTCAGAAAATATTTTTTTGGGAATTTCATTAATTTCTCCTGTGCGAATCCAGAGGTTTCCAGTACGATCGACAAGTTATAAGAGATCTTTCGTAGGCGACTGACTAGCCATAAATACCTATATTTTATATTCAATTATCAAGTCTACTATACCTATGTTCAAAGAGTTAGGTTATAGCGGTTTTTCCGCTCAAATTTGAGCATACTTCTGGGGAAGTAACCTCCATCTTACAGAAGATTACAGCAAAATAACACTACCTTTTGGTGGTATTGTGTTTCTGTCGGTGTGTAAGGTTCCAGGTCTCCACGGAGTAGGGGGTTAGGTCAGGGTAAGCAAGAGTGTGACTAATAATATGTTATTTTCTTTCATGTTTGTATCCCAAGCGTCTATAGGCTATTGTTGTCGCTTACCGTCAGGCGGGCCATACGCATGGTTTTCACCCTTTAAACATAAAAAAACCTACTAGACTCGAAGTTAGAAAAAAAAACCAAAGATTTAAAACTTTGTAATAAAGGGCGCCGGCGATTATTGAAAGTTTCGGAAACTATTTATATTAGCAAAGACGTCTTCAATTTAAGAGGTAGGTAATTTTTCATGATGAAACTGGATGAAACCTTCCATTACTAACGTGTATTCTGGTGCTACAACAGAAACAGTGCAACGCAATGGACTCGGGCATTTATAATTAGTAGTTAAGTAAACATTGCAATTTATTCCATACACACCTGATGGTTATTTACTTCTCTACAAGGCTGGCTTGAAATATTTTGAATTCATAATAGCTGTTGATGCTGATGGGGTAAGTACACCACAACATACCACTAACAATAAAAATGCACAAAACAATTTAGAAAATACGAAAACAGACAATGAAGGAAATAAATTTTCTTTCTGGTAAAAAAAGGATCTTTCTATATAAAGAGTAAACTGGTGCGTGCGTTTTAAATACGTCTCTGGGCCTGGTCTCTGGTCAAAGTTATTCTAGGGTTTTTCGTGTTTTATGGCCATAGAGAAACGGGGCCGACGCGGCCAGGAGGGGAGTATGCATTCACAGCGTTCCCATAGAGGTATAAGAATAGAGTAGGGGAGATATGTACTCTACTATTAGTGGAAGTGTCCGTCTAGTAGAAAGAGTAAGAAGATGAGGGACGGCTTGCCATCTCTCTCTCTTGTGACGCTGCGCAGTTGTGTGATTGGTCGGTATTCATCCGTAGGTTTTTCATCCAATGGGCATTCGCGATTAAAGAGAGAAAGCTAGCTGTCTCTCATCTTCTTTCTCTTTCTACTAGACGGACACTTTTAGTGCCGGCTTCCTCACTCTATTCTTATACCTCTATGAGCGTTCCTCTCGAACGATTTCCCCCGCTGTTGTGCCAGTTCAAAAACACGACTAGTTGCGCTTAATCGGATATTACACTAGACTGAGTCAAGTCGCGCGAGTGTATGTTAGAGATCCAAAATGCAAAAATGTTTTGTAACAGCAAATGTTAAACATATTATTATCTAGAATATTAAACTAAAAAAAAGGAAGGTGTTTAATTTCACATATAGGTAAAATTATTATTTCTATTGAACCATTTTTAAATACAATATTCATATTATTTTGTTAAAATTCAATCGTCGAACTTTTTTGACAAAACAATCTACTCGCCAGTACAAATTTCAGATCTGTCGATAAAAAATCTTAGGTTTCGTCTGTGCCAGATTTAGCGCTGTCATTTTTTATGTGCGAGTGTCGTAATTGCAATTTCGTTTTTCTGAAATTATGTTGGACTGCATTTATGTGCATATTTCTCTCCCCGCAAAAAGCGACAGAATGATTTCAGTAGTATTACGTCCAGACCCCTCTTTCCCAGTGGGCACTTTGGGCGTGCCCAGGGCCCCGCGATCGATAGGGGCCCCTCTCAGATCAAATATAAAGTCCCTAGTTCCTGTTAAATCATTAAACGGGGGTCATAGGGGCCCCATTATCCTAATATGCCCAGGGCCCCCAATAGGTCAAAGACGTCACTGATTTTGTCAATACGGCTACTCCCCTCCTAGCCGCGTCGGCTGTGTTGATCAATGTTTACGGCCTACCCATAAGTACCATAAAAACATTAGGGAACGAAAATTAGTATCTATACCTTAAGTAGGTAGAGATATAGATGTAAGGCCGGTTTAAAACCAATTAAACCAATCCGTTTAAAACGAAAAAAACCGTTTAAAACCGAAATAAACCTTTTTTTCGATTTAAAACGGATGGTGTTGATGACCATGTTTTTCTTAATTATAACTACATTGTCTTGATTTTACCGAGGTAAGAATATAACGGAGTACCTATAAACTGTATAAAGATTTTTTATAGGTATGTGATTTTCAGTATAATGTGTGATATACTTACTGATATTGATATACTTAGCGAATTTAGTTCTAGTTGGTCCATCCTCGACCAAGCATAGGTATTACCTTACCTAAGTTATAAAAACTCTTATCGTAAGTTAAAAACTCTGTGTTGGTAAATAAAAAAAAATCATTGTTTTCAAACAAATAAATCAATTCAATCAATTTGATTCGGTTTAAAACCAAACACACTCTCGCACTCTCTCTTTAATGCGCAAGTAAAACGGGCGGCATTGTGTTATATAATATATGTATAATAAATAAGTGCCTAAGTATGAAGGTACCTACATACCTACTTAAGTTTTCGTGGTACCTAGGTAATGTACGTAGGTACTTTCTATTGATTTTCTTTATACCTACTAAGTAAAACGAAACATGACGTCAGGTGATCAAAAGTTGACCATGATGAAGTGTAAAAAACATAGTTCTTTAATTTTTGGATACCAGTTTTCAACCGTTTAAAACGTTTTAAATCGGTTGTTTTACATCTATAGGTAGAGAGGCAGGGATATAGTGGATTTTCCGCTCGAATTGGAGTGCCCGTTTGGGGAAGTAACCTCCACTTTAGCAAAGACCACAATAAAATAACACTGCCTTCTAGTAGTGTTGTGTTTCAGTCGGTGAGTAAGTTTCCAGGGCTCCATGGGGCATACGCGGAAGAATCCCTAAACGGGGATCCCGCGGTTTCGCACTAAGCAGCTTAGAGGGTATTCGCAGGGTTTTTTAGCAGATATTATACCGTAAAGCGTCCGTAAAAGTAACGGGGTCCTCAGTGGGCAGCCACTGTGGGGGTGCGTAAGGTTTGCGGGAGCCAGGTGTGAGGTCCGTTCGGCGGTGTGCCTCATAAAGACGCCGTCGTCTGTAAACAGAGTTTTTGCCTGCGTCACAAAAAAAAGGACTAGGACTTAGGGAAGGGTGATGTTTTTAATATCGCAAGCGTCTATAGGTTTTGGTGGCTGCTTACCATTAGGAGGCTCAAAAGCTCGTTTGCCACCCTTTTAACATAAAAAATGGGTATGTTTACAAACAAAAGAAATATTCTTCCATAGCATGGAAAGGGGATGGTGCAAATGTTAGCGCGTTTGATTCGATCAGTACCCCTAGCGCGAACCATTATCGAATTCGAATAGTTTGCAAACCGAAATGTCAATGTCAAATTTTGTATGGAAACTTGAACAGCAGCACCACAAAGTACGTAACGAGAACTAAAAATCAGTACACATTTGACAATGACATTTCGGACTCGCAAACTATTGGAATTCGATATTGGTTCGTGCTAAGGATACAGTACCCCTAGCATTAACCAATATCGATTTCGAATAGTTTGCGTGTCAAATTTTGTATGGAATCTTGAACAGCAGCGCCACAAAGTACATAACGAGAACTAAAAATCAGTACACATTTGGCAATGACATTTCAGACTCGCAAACGTTACGTATTCGATAATCATATTAAATATCGTTGTTTCTACGCCATATCGAATGCCAGTTGATCGGTGACAATTAACCGAAATCCGTGGCGCTGGCGTTCAAGTTTCCATACAAAATTTGACAATGACATTGCGGATTCGCAAACTATTCGAATTCGATATTGGTTAAGCACTGCTTAGCACGAACCATTATCAAATTCGAATAGTTTGCAAGTCCGAAATGTCATTGTCATATTTTGTCAATCATGGATAATAACAGGTGGCGGAGGGAGGAGGTCCTCTCGGTTGAAGTCAATAAAACAACAGTTTGCAAACATTAAACGTAACTCCAATATAATTTTCATTAATAATAAATTATTTAAGTAATTATTACACTTTTTTTTTCACAAAACAAACATCAATGGCAGTAAAGATAAGTCCCATTAAAATCTGTATACATTGAAATGTATGAAAAGCATAACTTATACATTTGTAATACATGTGAATTAAGTTTGATATTTTAATTAAATTTAAATATTCGTGTTAAATAAAATTCATGACGGAACAGAAGACTGAGAGTAAAAATATCTTAATTTAAATTGGTTAACAAACTCATTTAACCCAAAAGGACTATCTATGTATAACATAAATACATATTTTTCATTTGTGCTTTAAATAAACAGGCATTCTACATACTCCTTTGCACACTTTTGCACTATCGGGAACATTTGACGTTTTCAGGACACATCTACCCAAGCAATAGTCACATTTATGACCGTGTAGTGAAATGCGATTATTGCTTGGCTTCACTTGTCGTGAAAACAGCAAAATTAACGATAGCGCAAAGGTACGTATACCGTAGTACGCCAAAATTTAACACTTTTGCAGTTTTGAATCATCCCAACGTAGGACCACAAAATGTCTCATACATTCAATGCCAGTACATCTTTTGGGATACAAGGAATTATAAACGTAATGTTAAACTATAAGCAAATGAAGGAAAAACTGGCCAAGCGCGAGTTTAGACTCGCTCTATTAAGGTTCCGTAAAATAATTATTTTGTTTTCGTCACAACTTGCAAAGTAGATTATGAATAGTCTTAGTCGTATTTGTTGTTTAAAAAGACCACATGGGACATCATATACCAACCTTTTCCATTCTTAACTAGTTTCCATTTTGAGATACAGCCCTTATAAAAACAAAATATTCGCCTTTGGGCAAGCATTCTACATAAAATACGCTAGCCTGTATCTTTATTTAATTTCAGCTTTATAACTCATTCTGTTTACGATCTAAAGACTGGTGAAATACGGACAGACAGACGACAGAGTGAAAGCAATAGGGTTCCGTTTTTACCCTTTGAGCACGGAACCCTAAAATGCAATCTTAACTGGAATCATAGCACCGATATTTTCTGATTTTGGTCTTTACGCGTCTTTTCAGATTGATTGTTCTTTTAAAGTATTATAGTCAATATAACTATCGCGTTAAAGACTATTATTAATGAGCAGATTTTTCAGAATACACTATAAAGTTACACACAATCTTTACTGAAAAAGGAGTGATCTATGAAAATGACAGAAGGTGAAATTTATTATTAACTATAGCGTGGCAAACTTTTTGAGCAAAATCACAGACAAATGGTAGATGCTCAAGGAGTAGGCCGGGGTGCGAACTACAGTTTGATGTTTTCAAAAAACAAAACCATATTTTAACTTTCTGTAACTACAGTGTACAGGCCAGACACATTAAGTAACCGCAAATTGTTTCTCATTATGAATCGGTAAAACTGTACTTCCAGGGCTCAAGAGGTGATACTTGATTTTTTTTTGTAGAAGAGCTCTTTTTAACAGAATCTTTTTCTGGCGCTTCGCCGGCTGCAGCCACGTCACGCCCGCTTTTCTCGCTCGGCTCTCGCGTTATGTATCACAACACTAACCTAACTTAGTGTGAAGTACCACTGCATGGGGCCCTGGAAGTACAGTTAAGCCTATGAATCTTATAAACAGGCAGTATAATATTTAAAGTCAGTCGAATAATTGTGGTCTTGATCAAAGGCCCAAGCACGACCTTGGACATCTCGGTAATTGTATCGCATCGTCAAAGTTTCTATGAAAACTAAATTGCGCCCCCTACCGGACGTAAGAACAAACTGGCTCCTTCCATGCAAAATTTGACGCTGACGATTAAGGATCTGTCAAAGTTCGTGCTTTGTGGTCTGTACGTTTTGTTTTTTAATCATATCTAATTATGATTGATATTAGTTATTGCACAACCAAGACCATCATCAATAAAATTTATTATTCGTTCTTACTAAAGTAAAGACTGATTGAAAATGGTAACTTAAAAGAATTTCGCCATTTTCAAAGTAAATGCTTATTTTAACTTCTCTTTTACTCACTCTGCTATTTAAACAGTACCTCCATTCTTTCCATCTACAACAATTCTTCAATTAACACAAAATTTTCGTCAGACAATAAAACTATTCAATTGATTCCAACTGAATTTTTAAGCTATTTTCTCTGCAGTTATGCGAGCTGCGAGCTAACGAATTTTCATAATCAATTATAAAAATATATATATTTTATTATGCTCATTTTGATTCCTTACGGTGGTCAAAACTGAAATACAACCAGAAAATCAATGACGGTTTTCTGGAATGACGGGCGCCAGGTGGCAGAACTGAGCTTAGAGGTCTACTCATCCGTCTAATTACTATGTAGCATAGAGGTTAGAGATAAGGAGAACATCGCTGTAGAAAATAGTGTCCCAGAAATATGGACAAAATCAGTGAGGCGCTGCGATCGCTAAGTTATCTCAATAAAAGTGGGCTAATTTGAAATGACCAATGCCGCGAAGAAATTTTGTACAATTTTCAACTAACTTCATCTACTTGTACTCATAAACAGCTAACTTCACAGATACTACTTACCGACAGCAGCGCGGCTGGTGGCCAAAAAGTGAACTATAAATTCTACAAATTTTCAGGGACAGGCGGGCTAATGCTTTAGTACGAAGCGATCGTACTCCTTCTCTCTAACATCCATGCTATGTGTCGATGTCGATGGATCAATTTAAATGCTCCTTCAATAAATTATCGCCAAAAGCTTCATTTATCATACAAAAGACCTTAAGTCACAGTGGCGCCAACTGCTGACGTTAATCTGACGTTAAAATTGACAGCTGTAATTTTATTCTCTCTCAAATGTAAACCCTTTATTAACTTCATTACCAAAATGTACTTAATTGTCGTTACATAAAGATTTTATGTACTCGGTACTCAAATAACTCTATGTGCGATAATCATATTATATAACTCACAAACTATGCATAAAACAAATACTAGGTTCAATAAATAGAGATACTTGCTTAAAAAATATAGATCTTAAATACTAAAACTAAATAAACCTTACTTTTGTCAAATATATGTATATTTAAGTGCAATATATAATACTGTAGATATAATAACTAAATATATGGTTACCTATAGCTAATGAAAAATTCACAATCTTGAACTAGGGTAAAATAAAATAAATAAACACAATTTATAATATATTATGTAACTAAACAGGGCGTCCCACGGTTATGCCACATGGAGTGAATATACAATATTTTACTAAAAGAGGACATCATTTTATTTTATAATAAGTAGAACTGCATACACAGATTTTTTTAAATCGCCTGCCACAACCGGGAATCCAACTCGGGGAATGTGAAACAAAAACACCGATGATAACCGATGAAGGTTTATTAATTATACGGTTTATTTTTTCCTAAATAGCATAGCATTTTAAATGAAAGAAAAATCATGAAATTTAACATTTTATTTAAAATAATTGCATACAAACTGGAATAAAAACGAAACAGTTCATTTTTTTGTATTTTATTTATCAAATGTTCAAAATGTTATCCATTGTGGAACTGCTCCACTTATTAAAAATAAAATGATGTCTTCTTTCAGTAAAATGTTCTCTCTTCAATATTTAATAATATACTTTCCTTCCATGTGACATGGCCGTGGGACACCCTGTATAGATTAGGTTAATTATATAATGTTCACAATGTTTTATGTATATTTAGATCTCAATAACTACACTAATAACACTAGGCAACGTCAAAAAACGTCAAGATCAAACCCAACAGATATGACTTGTTTAGTTTTGTCTACAATATGTTCAATCATTTTTTTTATATTCTCGAGAGTTAAGAGCTAAAACGTTGTCCTAATAGTAGGGGAGCCCGAGCGGGGATGTTTGGATTTACTCGAGCGCGGCAGAATAAAATATGGGGAGCAACCTTGCACCTAGTTAAGTACTCACACTATACCTGAGCCCTCGTATGTAGCGCCGAACGTCCAGAGCAGAACGAACAAAATTTCAACGAACGGTCATGACTTGTGGTCGCGCCAAAATCGTCAGTCTTTTGAATATACGCTACTAGAGGGTTCATGTAACGTTTCTAAGAACGGAAAAAAATGATGCTGCGGTTTGTATGATATGGGGGTGGCCGGCCGTACGAAGGGGTAGAATGTAGGATAAAATAACCGAGCGCGTCAGACATTGAAAAGGGATGTTACGTGAACCCTCCAGTAGCTCTTATTCAAAAGACTGACGATTTGGACCCGACCAAAGGTCATGGCCGTTTGTTGAAATTTTGTTTTTGCTGCCCTAGACGTTCGGCCCAACATAGATGGCTCAGATATAGTGGGAGTACTTAACTACGTGCAAGGATTCTCCCCATATGTTATTCTGCCGCGCTCGAGTAAATCCAAAAATCCCCGCTTGGGCTCCCCTACTATAATAAAACGATACATAATTGAAAAATTATAGTCTATAGTGAACCCTAAGCGTTAAGTAGAAAGACTCGAAATAGTGGCACACGTTTTATTAGTTCCTATACTAATTGTATTTACAATAGATTCAATATGACTTTGCACATACGGAATGAACTAAAGATCCAAAGAACGTAATAACACCGAAGGAATTTGAAAACAAATAAAATTACAGGAGAAATATTTATATTTTTGCTGTTTAAAATTATTTATACGTCACATTAATCGACCGAAAGTCCTTGTCACTTGTATCGTATTTTTCGCAAGAAAATTTCTAAGACGTTTGAATAGGAAGAACATAAAAGGCCTGAAAATAACTGAAAATTATCATATGAAGAGAAAAATAACAAGAAACATGTCTAATCATGAAAATTAACGAACAATAACACCAAGGCGCACGTGCAGAAATTTTGCTAAATCCCCAATCAACCAACACTTGACTTATGGAAGCCATACACATTAGGTTTTGCATGATGGTTTAGCCGAACATGCATAACCGACAGGCAAGCCCTTACGTGTATGTGATAAAACTGTACAGTTTTCGGTGCATGTAACTCGGTTATGCATGCACGGCTAAAACCATCATGCAAAAGTTGCATAACCTAATGTGTATGGCCTCCACTAGAAAACTTTTCACAGAGAAAAATGTCAATACGACAATGTTAATTTAACATTAATGTATGGGCTAAATCTAGTCGTAGTTGAATTAAGATTTAGCGAAATTGCTGCAAGTTGACTATAATTACAACACATGCTTATATTGAGTGTATGTATTCGAAACATTTTAAAGGTACTTATTATAAATTATTAAGTAAAATATTATCTTTTAATTTTTAAATTAAATCTAAAGAAAAATTTACTAAATATAACACTCGGTTCACTCCCTCCATAAGGAAACCTTTTTCTAGTAAATTTTTCATCAAGATTTAAATTCTAATTAAATTAATATAAACAAAATTAGTCATTTTGTACAAAGGAAAAGAAAGTTTTATTCATTCCAGAAATGGACAATAAATATAGAATATAGTTTTTACAGTGTACTGCATATTATATACAATAAAATTTAATATTAACAGCAATGGATCGCAAACTTCAAAAAAAACACCAAATTGATTCTTAGTATTAAAAACATTACATACAACCTCACTATCATAGTCAACATTTTTGCTTATTTATTTCAATTCCATTTGCTGTCATTGCACATACATTATCCTCATTTTGTTTGTTGTTTAAGTTCGTTGTTTTACCCGGGCCAAGTGTGCAGTAAAACAAGAGGATTAATCCCGAAAACAAGTTAGTGGAATGGTTTCTTTATTCTAATCGCTCGGACCTTAGCACGAACCAATATCGAATTCGTAACGTTTGCGAATGCGAATCTTCATCGAGAAATTTAGTATAAAAACTTGAACAGCGCCACAATGGACTTCTTCTTCTTTTTGGAAAATGGCGGTGCGCTTTTGTGGATTTTGCCAGACTCGAGTGATTCAGCTTGGTTGTTCTGTATGAATTGACTTTGCTTTTTTTTAAAAGAAGGTATGTTGTGAAAGCACAATATGTGAAAGAAGTAAACAATGTACTTGAATTTTTGTAATTGGATATCTGTTGTCTTGTCACAATGGACTTTCAGTACCACGAACTTCTGGACATTTGACACGGTTGGTTCGTGCTGAGGGTAGATACTGATTTCTTTATTTCGTCGATATGATTAGCTCGTTTCCGTGTGCATTCAGTATGAAATATTTTCCAACTTTATCTACAATCTACATACTTAAAAGATCAGTATCGCTTGAAAATACCCAACTCACGACACCGTGGGTCCTTTTCAAGCGATACTAGTTTTTAAAGTATGTAGATAAAGTTCAAAATTATTTCACACTGAAAGTGCTCGCCGCGTCGCTGCCGGCCACGGTCCCAACATTGTAAGTAATATCGACACGCAAGATTCGCACGAAATCAGTACACATTTGACGTATAAATGGGATTCGACTATTCGACTGAGATAATGGTTCGTGCTTAGGGAAGGGTAGGGACATAGGGATAAGTTTCATTTGGAATTGCAAAATCAAATTCATTGCCCGGGTTCAGCCAAAAAAAATATGGATTGACAATCATTTGGCTGAAAGTGATCGCACCGCCGCTGCCGGCCGCGGTCTTGGCCTCAACATTGTCTCCCTTATTAATAAACGAAGAAAGCTTTAATTAGTTCTCAATGTTTCGTCTCTGCTCACTGTTTTAGAAATTGGCACTTGAGTGCTATAAACAACAGCGTAACAAGTCTCAGATATTCCTCGTTTATTAATAGTAAAAGTAAGTAAGTAACGTAAGTTTAACGAGTGCGGATTTCTTTATTCACTTATGTTATATCATATCGCTAGGCGTGCGTAGTTTTACGCCTACGTAGGCATTTATTTGTTCGTGTCATATCGCTACGCGTGCGTAGTTCTGCGCCTGCGCAGGCGGTGCCGGCAGTACAGTCGCAGTAGTACGGCGCCGAACACTAACAACACTCCCGCCCCGCCCCCGCCCGATATGCGGTGCCCGTATACCGCGCACGATAGCAGGATCGATACCGCCTGTACACACAATACGAATCATTAATAAGGCAGCCTTCGTCTATAATATTTTATATTTGTTTCTTAGGTTTTCACGCACATCACACATTAAAGAAAACTAGTTTTAACGGGTTAATGCACGATACTTTATTTATTTATTGACGTTTCGCAGCCTTTTCAGATCTGCGGATTATTCTGACGATGCAGACCTGAAAAGGCTGCGAAACGTCAATAAATATATAAAGTTTCGTGCATTAACCCGTTAAAACTAGTTTTATTTATATTTTTTTAGTTTTAAGTTAGCGGTGTTTTGTATTTAATCATGTCTAAAAGGGGTAAAACCTTACAAATACGGTAGAAAAGCACTACAGCGCCCACCAATCTAAATCCCATTCTCTTTCCGCAGACTCTACCCTTAAAGTGAGCCAACGCCGGGCGTCCGGCATCAAATATAAAACATCAAAATCCAAGAGGCGAGCGAGAGCATAGCATTTTAATTAAATAAATGATTAGTTGTATTTTAGTGACCAGTACCTATTTCTATAGTAATGATTATGAGTTATGTTGCTCGAAATAAATTTATTTTATATTATTTGATGTTTTTATTTATAGCGGTTTTTCCTTTCGTATTGGAGCTCCCGGCTGGGGAAATAACTTCCACAATACAGAAAACTACAATAAATAAATTTGTGAGTTAAATAATAGTGGAAATTACATAGGCAATTGTTTAAACTTAATGTTATATTTTTTATGTAAAAATTAATGCTGTTATTTCCCTAAAAATAAATAAATAAATAAAACAATACTACCTTTTGATAGTGCTATGTTTCTGTTGGCAAGTGTGGTTCCAGGGTGCCAACCAGTCATCGTTATGTTATTTCTGACAGCCGAAGAACAAAACGGCGAGGCATGTGAAAAACATGCCTCGCCGTTTTGTTTTCTTTTGCATTGGTAATAACAATATTAAAGAAAATAAGCGTGAGGTATTTGAAAACCTTCGGTGGTCAGACATAAAAAAATTAAATGGTAAGCGATAGCGATAGCCATAACAATCTCGTTAGGCGATTACTCCACAGGCCTACACGGGGTTGGGAATTGGATCCGAGTAAGCAACGACGCGAGTGATATTTTTGGTATCGCAAGCGTATATAGGCTATTATGGCGGCTTACCATCAGGCGTGCAATATGCATGATTGATACCTTTTTAACATTGAAAACAATAAAAATAAAACAAAAACAGTATGTTTATGACCACACGACTGAATTCAAACTTCTTTAGCTCCATCTGTATGTATATATATATATGTGTGTGTGTGTACAATATATACATGTATGTACACATACATATATCATTTATTAGCTATAAGAGAAAGATAGGAAAAAGATGTGCGCGCGCACTGCTTTATCTTGCTTATCTAGTTGAGTGGGACTCAACTCCCGTTCGCCTCGCCCGAACACACTTTTCGTAACGCATAACGCATTCGCCAGTTTACCCCCCAAGTTAAGCTAAAATAAGCTTGCGTAAAGAAGTTTCACTTCGAAAATAGAAAAGCATACACAGTACGCTTAGGATCTTTATAAATGTGTGACAGTTCAGCGAGGGCGCCACTGGTGTCGATTAAATTTGACAACAGTGCATCCTTGTCATTCTGTATACAGAATGAAAAGGAGAGACTGATGTTAAATTTAGTTTTAAGTTTAGAGAATCATGCTAGAATCGATACCACTGTGTACTTAAAGAACATACAAAATGTGACGTTTACAAAACAGTAAGTTTCAATTCTCGCCACATTCATAGAGATCCTCGTCGCATTATAATAGTAGAAGATCCGAACCTACATCGACCTTCACCGAGCTGATAATAGAATGAAACATATTTTATCATGACTTTAGTATATTACAAAATATATTCAAAATGGGTTGAATAAAAAAAACATGAGCAGACTATTTTTAATAATTAAAAAAATGTCTTAAAAAATATGTGGCAACATTAGGATAGTAAGAAAATGATGTTCCGACTTAAGTATAAAACGTTTAGACTGTGCAGCCGTTGGGTAACATACCTGTTTATATCTGGCAACCAAGTAGTTCGCCCTGGTAAATAAAAGACAACCCAAGGGCTGCACATTTTAAATGTTTCACAACGTTTTTAGGACATAATTTTCTTATTATCTTGATGTTGCAACATTTAATTAAAAATGTTTATTTAAAATTAATTAAAAATAATCTGACCAGGATTTTTTTAGGCTACCCATTTTTAATATATTTTCTAATGTACTTAATTCATGATTAAATAGGTTTCATTCTATTATCAACTCGGTGAAGGTCGATGTAGGTTTCGGATCTTAGACCATAAGTTGCCTCCATCATACCTGTCTCAAAGTCATGATGATTGTGAACACAACGGCACCGAACCTCGCTATCGTCCTATATATGAGCAGTTGGCCTACTGCAGAACTAGCAGAGAGTAGGAGGCAGTCCATCGCGAATACGGGATGCTGGAAAATGAACGTTCATCATCATCATTAGCCTATTAGTTTCCCCACTGCTGGGGCACAGGCCTTCCCTATGGATGGAATAGGGAGATTGGGCGATGACCCACCACGCGGGCCCATGCGGATGGCGGGTACTAACGACTGCAGATGCAGCCGGGACCAACAGCTTAACGTTCCTTCCGAAGCACGGAGGAAATCGAGATAGAAGATTTTCGGTCACGCATCCAATGACCGACCACTGCGAAAGTTGCTTAACTTCAACGATCGCAGCCGAACGAGATAATTACTTGCGCCATCGAGCTCCTCATATGAAAGTTAATTAGTTATAAAGATAAGGTTGAAGTTGGATAAACAACAAAGTGAATAAAGCATGTAGAAAAAACCAGCGTTAATAAGTTGAAACAATGTTGAAATTCTTATTAAAACAAAACTAATGCAGGATGCTGGAAAATGATTGTTAATTAGATAATTAGTTACGATAAGGTTAAAATTAAATAAACTTGCAAGGATATGAGTGGTAGGTGAAGTCCAACATTGTACACTTTCGAGCAATTAACTTTAAAAATATAAGCGTAAAATACGTGGTGAAAAGATGGATGAATTGCAGCATATATAATCTAAGTTCAAAAATGGCCATAGCCTTGGTCAGGAAGTATTTGCATTTTTATAATATTTTCTTATAGTTATGTTTATTTTTTAAGCATTTAACTGCTAGATGTTCAAATATAAAGAAAAGTATAAAAGAAAAAAATCCACGAGCGTGGTCGAGGTCGACGAGGTCAGTGCATTCGCCCGGACAGCGAAGGGTGCGGGTTCGAGTCCCGTCTGCTACCTGGTTCGCGTGATTTTTTTTCTAGTAAACTTTATTATAGATATATTTTCTTATATTTGATTATTTAATGAAAAAATCTATTCAAACCAAGCGGAAAATCGGAACCCATTGATCATTAAAATCGTAGCAATGTACATACACACATCTGTTTTTTTTTATTTTGGCTATTCTTATATCAGATGCGATAGGCCTCAATCTCACCTGTAACAGCCGCAAAGAGCATAATAGTTTTTATACCAGAGCTAATAAGGTACAATCTCACCTGTAACAGCCTCAGGGAATGTATCGTAGTGTTGTGTTGCGCTAACGCAGCCGCAGTTAGGGCGCAAGAGAACAGATTGACCCCGCACAGCATTTGCAACGAAGTGCAGTTGTATCGTGTAAATAAGGCCCCTTGCCATGACGATGTGAAACTGTCGCAAAGCATGTACAGAGCTAGGAGTGTGAGCCCTGACATTGTCGTCACTGTTGACACTGGAAGGTAACATAATATAGATATATATATATATATATATTGTGGATGAACGGAGAGCTTTGCTCGACACACTGGAGAACAGAAGGGGAAGAATGTTCGACCACTTTGTGCGACACGACGAATTCATAAAGAACTTCATTGAGGGAAAAGTAGAAGGAAAGAGAGGAAGGGGAAGACCGAGGATAGCCTACACTTAGCAAATTAAGGAAAAGGTTGGCGTCGAGTCGTACAGGGGGCTCAGAGTTGGCGGAGGACAGAGGGAGATGGCGGGGGATCCATAGACTGCAACGACAAGAGCATAGCTCTTAAATTTGGAGGGAGAGGGAGAGGGAGGGAGGGAGGGAGAGAGAGAGAGGGAGGGAGGGAGGGAGAGAGGGGGGGGAGAGAGAGATATTAATATCTAATAAAAAATACTAACTGCTAAGGAGGACCCTGTTTCGCAAATATTACAACTAGGAATGCAACGACATGCAATTGACCACGCTCTTAGCTCCCAGCACCCGAGATACCCCGGGTGATCCCTGCTGTGGAGCCCCGGCTAGGCCGGGAAGCTGTCAGGTGCTGGGACGCGGTAAAATCCCTCAACGGGGATCTCGCGGGTCCGCCATAGAGGTATAAGAATAGAGTGGGGAAGGCGGCTCTAAAATTGTCCGTCTAGTAGAAAGAGAAAGAAGAGAGACCGCTAGCTATCTCTCTCTTTTTTGATGTATGCGCAGTCGTCTGTCCAATAGTTAGTCCAAGCATCACATCGAAATAGTAAGATGCTAAAGGTTGACAATGCGCATGCGCGATTAGAGAGAGAAAGCTAGCGGTCTCTCATCTTCTTTCTCTTTCTATTAGAGGGAGACTTCAACTTGTAGTAGTCTATATCTCCTCTACTCTATTATTTTTCGGTTAATTGTCACCAATCAAATGGCATTCGATATGGCGTAGAAAACCATCACAAAGTCGACATATGAGAGATTGAATAAAATTTCCAGACCGATGTCGTTAGTCGTGATTGTATTATATGCTTTATTTAGTTTGAATAGTGCATGCTCTACTTAGTTGGGCACTAAATAATTGCTGCGATTTGTCCAATAATTGCAAATATTATTTACCTGTATAATCATCATGGCTACCAAACATGAAGAGCACCATTCCGACAGATATCATGACCGCTGTCACATACTCGTACAACTCATACTTGTTCCGGGATATCAGTTTTCCCATCAACATAACAGGTATCACTTTACATGATTTCGATAATACCTGATGAAATACAAATTAATATTTTTATCTTTACTTATTTACCTATTTAATTTTATCGGTCAATAGTTGTTTACTATCTCATTTCCTTTTTTCTATATCAGATAAATAAATAAATATTTACAACACTCACACCAATTAGCCTAGCCCCAAAGTAAGCACTGTAAGGTTTGTATTATGGGATACTAGGGTAACGGATACAATACATATATTGTACATATATAAGTATATTTATATAGTAGTACATATTAAACATCCATGAATGGAGTACAATTGCTCGCATTCATTACACAATCATCTGCCACCATCGGGATTCGAACCCGGGACCTCTCGAATCGGCGACACCATAAAACCCGGCGTATAAACCACTCGGGCACGGAGGTCGTCAATCAAAAAGAGAAAGATTTTATTAATATCAAAAAGATTGGATAGATAGTTGTCTATTTCAAGTCTATTTTTGACCCTGAACTGAATTGAATTTCATTCCCAGGTGGATTAACATGTGAAATAAGCACTACTCCACGGATGCGAAGCCGTGGACTAGAAGCTAGTATTTTATGAAATATTTAAGTCACTAGTTCTATCAGATTATATAATGTCTGTATTCATTTGAAAGTTCTGTTCTTTACGAGTGAAAAGGTATCGAATAATTTTGCAGATGAGACATCAAATATCCTAAGGCGCCACCTTCACGTCCAAGAGGTTTGCGACGAGTTCGCGCTTCTAACGCCCGGTAATCGCCACGTAATGATAATTATACCGTCGGCTTATTAATGCTGTATTAATAACGACTCGCTATGTAACGCGATATTTGATAACGCGCTCGCGTTCTCGCTAAGATTTGTTATGAAGCAGGCACGCCGCGAGTATAGCGTGATTCAAACTATGTTAAAGTGTTTAAAACTTATTCCCGACAGTTAGCTTATTGCCAACATAAAAACATCCAATGTCATAATTAAAAAATAAACGGACATGTGCTGTTCACTTGCGATAGAAGTGAAACCTTTCGAAAAAGAAATAATAGCTTAATAAAAGAAAAAAAAACTATTAGAAAAATAACCGAGCTCAGGATCGAACCACCGATCATTTGGTGTCGAGCCCAAGACCGTTACCCTTCGGCTATCATTCTCTTGCAGATAGTTACAAAATTACGGTTACCTTGTATCAAATACTGTCGCTTTTTCGTTTCATCGACTTTCAAATCACAACGGTGCTAAAGAAGTTTTCACTTGAAACGGGTGTCATAATGTTGTACGGAATTTCAAAACAACACTCCTTCACTTTTTAAATCTCTTCCGCCCTAAGGGCTTCCACAAAAAAATTTCATTGCTCGATGCGTGCTATTATGAATTTCAAAAAAGAACTTTATCATTCACGCGTGTTTCACTACCACAGTGCCGAAATTTTTCATGAATTTTACGTTCTATGCTTTCAGAATGTTTTATTGAGGATGATAGCATCGAGCGCAACTACGCGTAGGTTTCAGTACCCCTAACACGAACCAATATGGAATTCGTAATGTTTGCGAGTCCGAAATGTCATTGTCAAATTTTGTATAGAAACTCGAACAGCAGCGCCACAACGGACCTAAAAATTAGTACACATTTGACAGTGACATTTCGGACTCGCAAACTATTCGAATTCGATATTGGTTCGTGCTATGGGTACAGTTCAGTGAACGTGCGGGTTCCACCTGCATTTCGATTACTGCGCGACTAGCGTTAACTTCACATTAAGTGTGGATCGCGCTATACGCAGAGAGTGGCAACAGGTATGCTTACGTTTTCTTCACACTGGTCACATCGCCATATGGAGACACATTCTATGATAATGTATAAAATCACGACAAAAATATACAACGATTTTGTCACTTGTGGAGATGACGCCTTAAAATGCCGATAAAACAGAATATAGACAGTGATTAGATATGAATTACCTGTGTGGGAAAGCTGACATACTTCAAAGCTTCGTATTGGCACCATGTACTGACAATATTAGTGACGGAACAATATGAAAACTTGTATAATGGTGCTGACACTAGTGGCTGCCTCGTCCACAGTAATCGTCCGAGGGCCACTAGGAATGCCAGCATACGATTAATGAATACTAAGAATTGAGAGTCGTTGAACTTTATTAATGTCCCGTCTGACATTACATAGTTCTGTGGACAAGGAAATGTATTAATGCAATACAAGAATTATATAATAAGTTACTTATTTATCATTCAAATAATATTACATGAAAAAAATTAAATGTAAAATTAAATTATTCAGAAGACTTAACTATTACGTATAGTTGGAACCAATGGAACTTCCGTTCGAAGAGCTCCGCAACGGTACTCAAGATCATTCGCTACTGAATATCATGTCATACTATCATCTTGATTTTTATTATGATGCTAGTTAGATTTCCGAAGGGAAAGCGAAATCCTTCAGTGACCTGCGTTCAAGGCACTTGCGCTTCATACCAACATATTCGCTTGAGTCAGCAAATGTTAACGTACGGACGACCCTTTTTTTACACAAAACGCGCGGTGCGGCAACAGTCCTGTTGTCGAGCATTCGCGGTACCGACGCCGTACTGTTGCCGCACCGCGCGTTTTGTGTAAAAAAAAGGGTCGTCCGTACGACAAACGCACTATTTCGGCACCGTAGCAGGCCGTCAAGAAACGCATAAAGGACATTGTTCTGCGTCCATACATAGTTAGCCTAAGAACCAACAACCATGAAATATTATTTTCTAGGTTCGAAATCGCAAGTAAATGACTGTAAAAACAAAGATTATTGACGGACACTTCTGAGAACTTAAATTATTAGGAAAACTAAAATTTTTTTGAGATTATGTTTAATATTCAATGAAATCAATGAAACATAGGTCAACCTACGAACTAAGTATGAACTCAGTTTGAAGTGAATTAATATTACACCTAATTCATTTTATTCGGTGCGATTTTAAAGAATTACTATTAGGAAAAACTTGATTAGGTAGGAATCATGAATAAAATAAAAACTGTAGTTTTGCTTCTTATTATTTATTGGCTATTTTTCACATAATTGTATCATATTGTATTTATTTGTTTAACACATGTATATTGTGTAAATATGCAGCGTGAATGTATATCAGGGGCTCTTGAATAATTTGGCAGTATGATCCTCTCAGGATGTTGAGGCACAGGTTCACTAGCACTTGGTAATAAGGTCTCTGCTTTTTAGTCACATCGTCATTTAGGCATAGGTATTAGATAGCCGAAATAGTAAAAGTTAAATTAAAGGAAAAACAATCGCAAATAAACACACACAACAGGTAATCCGAAACGAGAATTTTCCGTATATAAAAAGTACTCTTTGACGAGAATGCACGAATGATGCCACAGATTACTACGAATGCAAACTGCCTGCACCACAACCACAGAGTATCGAGTTTATGCCGGCCCTTCACTTGACAACAGTTTGTCCTTGTCATGCTTAATAATAATACATACACACACATATATATTTATGTATTTATGTGTGTGTATGTATTTATATTTATTTTAGTATGTATGTATATGTGTATGTATTAAACGCTATTTAATTTTGTTTTTTTATTGTTTGATGTTTGTTCTTTCCCATGATTGTCTGCCGTTTTATTGACTCTGCACGTTCTTTCCGGTTGACTGGTAGAGAATGCCATGCTGGCATTAAGTCCGCCATATGCAATGTAAGGCAATAAATATTAAATAAATAAAAATAAAATAAATAAGGAATGAAAAGGATAGACTGATGTCATGTTTTTAAATAGCAAATACAAATAGCCAAGTGAAGTGCCGGCATTAGGAAGAAAGAGTGTTTTGTTTGCAGCGCTGTCATAGATTATACACATATTTATTGTCTCAGATTGTTTATTAACTGGAAGTGTCCGTCACAATCTAAATACTGATAATTATCGCAAAAAATATACTAAGAATTATCATAAATGCCAAATTGGTGTTGGTTCTTAGGCCAATTTTAACATTGTCCTTTAAAGCACCCTAAGCACGATCTAACTAGATTATTGGCTACGCCAAACAGATGTAGAGCCGAAGCGACTCTAAGGCAGTTCACCCACTGCAGCGCGCTACGTCGCCTAGTGTGAGCGCAGATGTTAACGTATTAAAGTATAATATATAGGGAAAGTCACGGCGAAGATACTAAGGAAGAATAAAAACATAACTCAATGAATTTAAATGAAAATCATTAAATTTAATTAGTATCTCTGATTAAGACCGTTAGACCCAAACAAGTTCAAATATAGCGTCGCTTTGAATAGGTATATTCATTTAGAAGTTTTCGCGCGGTTTTCTAACAAACATACTTATGTGCGACGACTCCGAACGCGGTCAAGGGCCACAGAGTAATGCGCGGTGATTTTAAGCGCGGCCTAGAGCCACAAATAGCGGTGGGCATTTAAACGAAAAGCGCTTAAATAAGCGCGCTTAAAATATTAAGCTTGTAAGCACGCTTTTAAGTATAAGCTTTATAAGCTTATCACTTAAAAAGTGTGAGTAAGCTTTTCACTTAAAAAAGTGCAAGTATATTTTTTACTTAAAAAGTGCAAATCCCGCCATCTATGTCTTTGCCAGGAAACTACATACTTCGATCCTTCTAGTCCACTACAGCAGTGGTTCTCAAACTTTTTAAATGACGGAACCCTTTTGGGAAGCAAAATACTTGATGGAACCCTACAATAAAACAATTATTTTTATAAGTGTATTCTATATTAATCAGCATAATAAAAGTACAATGTATCCGTTACTAATTATTATTTACTTCACCACTTGGTAAGGACAATAATAGAAAACATTAAAAAAGAAAAAATCTAACTAGTGGGAGGTATGAAACTGTTTTTTATTTTTCATCAATTGCTTGATATCAGGTTTGATGGAAGAAAGTTGGAGTCTCATATCAGCTTCGGCGTCCAGTCTATTGCGATATTTTGTTTTCGTGGCTGCGTAGGTAGAGAATCCTGTTTCGCACAAATATGTAGTTGGGAACGGGAGAAGAATATCCAGAGCCATTTGGCCAAGCATTGCATATTCATCTTGGATTCTGCACCAAAAATCATTAAGAGGCGTCGTTTTGAACAATGACTCCATACTTGTGTCTGATGACATTTCTAAAAGAGATTCATATATCTCATTTGACATGTTTTCAGGCTTTTCCAAGTTGGGTAAAAAAGGATTATGAATCCAGGAGTTCACTTTAATTTTTGTATTGTGTTCTTCGGGAAAATACTTTTCAAAAGATGCGCGCATCGAACTGAGATATTGGACCAATTCTTCAAACACATTATCTTCAAACATTTCTGAGTCGTTTTCGCTAACAAACTCAGTGAGTAACGTAAAACTTTCTATTTCTTTCTTACCAATGCAAATGATCCAAAAATCTAATTTTCTTTTAAAAGTAGTTATTTTATTATAGGCCTGAAACACTGTTGTCTGTTTACCTTGCAATGATAAATTTAATTCGTTAAGTTTTTGAAAGATATCCGCCATAAAAGACAATCGGAACAACCAAGTTTTATCATACAAACGGTCCTTCAAATTAAAAGAAGTATCTGCTGAAAGAAACATTTGTAACTCGGCTCTAAGTTCAAATAGCCTTGTTAAAGTTTTTCCCCGAGACAGCCATCGCACTTCTGTATGGAGCAGCAGTGTTTTATGTTTGCTGCCATAATCTTCACACAATAATGAGAACAATCGGGATTGTAGTGGTCGTGATTTGATAAAATTAATTATTTTTACCGCTTCATCCATAACTAATTTTAGATTAGACGGCATTTGCTTCATCGCAAGTGCTTGTCTATGCAGAATACAATGACTGGAACTACAATTAGGCGCTTTATTTTTCATTCGTGACACTGCTCCTGCTGTTTTACCTGTCATCGCCTTGGCCCCATCTGTACAAATGTCAATGCAATTGTTCCAACTGAGATTATGTTCTTCAAAAAATATATTTATTTTATTAAAAATTTCTTCCCCGGTAGTGTTTGTAAGCAGCGATGAACACATAAGCATGTCTTCTTCAAAAGAACTTTTATATGGATATCTCACAATAACCAGCAGGATAGCCAAACCAGCGACATCAGTCGACTCGTCCATTTGCAAAGCGAATCGTGTATTTTGTAGACGTGTAACTAGTTCTTGTTTGACGTAGCTTGCCAGATCATGGATTCGTCGTGAAACAGTATCGTTTGATAGCGGAACAGTAGAAAGATGCTTTGCAGATTTTTCATCAAGCATACATTTTGTTATGTCTAATACACATGGTTTTATTAATTTCTCAGCGATAGTGTGCGCTTCACCTGCTTGTGCAATGCGATAGCTAACTAAGTATGATGCCTCCGTGGCCTTTTCGTTGGTAGTTTGTGTTACATGCATCATATTTTTTTGACTTTCTAATAACTGATCTTTTTTGCGAACAAAAAATTCTTTATTCTTGTCTTTAGTCTCGGGGTGTACGGTTTCTAAATGTCGACGCAATTTGGCAGGTGCCATGGAACTATTAGGAAGCAGTTTACTACAGAGCATGCAGAGAGGTGAGCCGTTGGAATCAACAAATCCGAAACTGATATAAGATTCATCATACTTCCTTTTTTTCGTCTTTGAAACCGTCGAGCTTGACGTCGTGGCACTCGTGGCATCATCTTCTGGATCGGTGATTGCTAAATTCTCCGCGCGCATTGCTTTTGAACATTCAGCGTCATTAGAAGATGTTGTTGGAACACGTTTAACACCTTTAAGCCAACGTTCCATTCTTCTTTATTTATAATGTTACAAGTCAGGATAGTGGGGTTTAAATAATGCACAATCGTTACTGCGTATAAGAGACTAAATTTAGAACCTACAGGGAAGAAATGTATAAAACTGAGACAACAGAATACAGCAGGCAGTAAAACAATGAACACCAGTTTCTCGCTAGCGAGCTTGTAAGTAGGTAGTAACTTATCGCTCCGAACGCTAATCATCAACTGACGACGCCAACGCGCGATCGCCGCTTTTATACTTAGTCCTAGACTCGATCTCAAATATTCTCGAAAATACTCGAGTCGGCACCTTTGATAAACAAAAAGCAAAAATAAAAACAGAAATTTAAAAATAGCGTTGTAAACAATATCGACTTTATCCTTTGAAGTTAGAGACGAAAGTCGCTAGTTGACAACTATAGCGTCTAATTCAGAGGCGGCTTTTATCAAAGAGACTGAGCGCTTACAAGTATACTACCCGCTCGTTTTAAGTTTGCCGCTGGCGATAGGTATGAGTGTATGACGTTCGAAATTTTTTATTTAATTGTAACAATAAAAATTGTGTACGTTAGATATTTGGGTAAAACTATGACACATTATAAGTTTTGTTGTCACGTGGGGGAGGGTACGCGCATTCCACAGACCGGCAAACTTAGAGCGAACGCGTTGTACAAGTATAAAATTGTTGAGACCAAACTTATGAGATATTGTACCAGCTAATGTAACACAAGCTTATACAAATACAAATAAATAAATAAATAACATTCATAGCGTTTTGTCTCCGCGCGGCCGCGGAGTCCGCACAGCCGCGGAGCGACCAGAGAGAGGTGTTTTGATTTTTTTATTTCTAAATTCTTGCGGAACCCCGACAGAGGTATCACGGAACCCTAGGGTTCCGCGGAACACACTTAGAGTATAGCTGCACTACAGTATCGTAAAATGGGTACGCGGAATTCCTTGGTACTAAATATTTCACAATATCACAGACATAGAACGCGCGACTACAGCGCCGCGTCGGCGTGCCATCTTTCGTGAGCCGGTTAATACAGAATGCGAATTATTATAATGCGACGTAAAAAAATGCACTTTTTTAAAATTTGGTCGGATAACCAACGCTTTTTTCGTTAAAAGCGTTTAATTAAACGAAGTCGAAAAGCAGTACGCTTGTCACTGTGACGGGGTAAGAGCGCGTGGGTGTTGTACGTTGTGTTTGCATGCTTGCTTGACGTGTTAATGCGTTTCGTGTATTGGTTTAATGTGCATATAAAATAGTTAAAAGTATGTATATAAAATCAATGAACTTTTAAGTACGCCTGGATCACGAGTATATTAACTCCAGACAGTCCTAAGCTTGTAAACTAAGAAGGAAAGTTCATTGACTTAAAAAAATTGATTATAAAAATGTTTATTATAAAATCTAAATTCAATTGAAAATCTTTCGTTTTTAATGCCAATCAATTCATTAGGTTTAAAAAAAAAATTTAATAAAAATTTCATTAATAAGAAGAAAAAACGCAATAAAACACTTAAACACATTAAAAACGACAATAAACTTTTCACGCTTTTTTAAACGATATACCTAAACGAAAACACAACACAACGTCGCGCTTTTTACGCATGCTTTTAAACGTTTAAGCCAATAAGCGTTTAAACGAAACGACAATAAACTTTCACGCTTTTTTAAACGATATACCTAAACGAAAACACAACACAACGTCGCGCTTTTTACGCATGCTTTTAAACGTTTAAGCCAATAAGCGTTTAAACGAAAAAGCTTTTTTTCAAGCGCGCTTATTTTAAAAAGTACAACGTTTAAACGCTTTTAAGAAATAAGCCGTTTTTTCCATCTCTAGCCACAAAGCGGAGTAATCACACGCCAGCTCGCGTGGCCGTTTTACAGCGGTATGTTTGTATGTTATGTTTTATATTTGCCATGAAATTTTTAAACATAATTATGATACAGGAATTAGATTTCCACTTAAATTGTTAACTTCTCAGTATCTTCACCGCGCCTTTCCCGGTACGCGCTGCGCATTTCTTTGCTCTGTGATCGCTCTGTCAGTTTAAAAATATGTTATGGGTGTTTATAACCAGACATGAAACAGTTTCGTCTTCTATACTACCAAACCACCCACCATAAACATATCTGTATTTGTATAATATGAGTGTAAAAAAAAAAAAACATAAATATTAGTGTTGACTTGACCATGGATATAATGAGGATACTTAAAATACTTTTACATACCTGTGTCATAATTTTCTCCTGCAGCAGTCCCCATACAAGATATGCACCCATCAACCCGGTAAAACAGAAGGCCAACTCAGCACTCTCTCTTGATGGAGTTTCGTCAACTTTCGACGGCTTCACGGAATCCGGTAACCGTTCATTAGGTTCACCGAAACACGCATAAAGTGCGCGGGATAAATGAGTGCTATTACCTATATCAGAACAACAAAGGTTGTTTTGTATCATCTTTTATTTATACAAAAATAAGTTCAAATTATTATTTGTTCATCCTCCAAAACAAGATTAAGGGAGAATGCCAACTCAATATGATAGACCCATATTTTATCTAATTTAGACTTATTAAATCATATAAATCTCTCTTCTGTATCTTAAATTTTTTCTAATCTAATAACATAGCCCCAATAGCGCCTCTTTAGATCTATCTTTATTATATTAGGAAAAACTGCCAAAACATTATCTAATAATCTAACCTAACGAACATAAGTATGAACAAAAATGTTTATATTGATATTTTTAAAAAATGCTTTATCAGAATACTGCTTACCAATCTTATCAAAGTAATTGGATCTATCAAGATATTTGTACAATATGAAGCCCGGCAGTAGAACTGTGAGATAACCACCAATATTTAATAAAAGGCGGAAACACCTGAAACAATAATTATAATTAATAGCCATGATTGATATTTATCAGTACTGCACAAGTATATTGTATATTATACACTCTGACCTTTCAACTGGTGCAAAAAGTATTTTTTGGTCAAAAGTGGACTTATCAGTTTAACAAATTAGACTAACCTGATGTTACTACGGTTAGACTTTAATGACTTTTTCAATATTCATAATAAATAATGTGTTGATAAAATTCATTTGCACAATCCTGTTAAAAGTTTATATCTATGCTACTAATTTAAATTTTAGAATCATAAAATATAACAATAATCAGAGTATGTTTCTGTGCAAATTTAATCATTATTACTCAGTTAATTAACCATAATCTTGCTACAATGAAATCTAACAACTTCAATTATTTAAAAATTACAAATAACACTGTCATTTAAATCTATTTTAACAAAATTTAATATAGTTAAAATAGATTTAAATTTATATTAGAGTTGCTTTGGCACTGCGCCTGTTTGGTGTAGTCAATAATCTAGTTAGAGTGTGGCTCACATTTGCTGACTTAAGGTAATGGTGTTGGTATGACAACAGCGAAAGTGGCTTGAACGCATGAACTGCATTCAAACTCACTTGTGAACACAGTGGAATAAGTGTTAAAAAAAAGCTGATAGACAGTGAATTTACTTTTCAAAAAGCTAACACATAACATTATAAAATTATAATGATATAATTGTACTGATTTAAAGCTATGTTAACTTCATAGTTCAAATAGATTTAAATGACATTGAATTACGAGTATTCAAAATGCTAATACTTAAAAATACAATACTAAAGCAATTATGTTGTGATAAATTTAATTACAAATAAGAAATTTTGAATGCCTGAAAACTAACAACAAAGTCAAGCTTTTTTCTTTAGTTCTGTTGAATTACATTCACAAATTTTGGACTTACCATGAGTATTCTATGTCCATAAGTCTGCCAGACTGTTCATAAGCACTGAGAAGCTCTTGGTAAATCCGAGCAAACAACCATGTTGTCAGTATACATGCTAATATCACCAGCCTAGAAATAAGGTTTAATCATATAAATAAAACACTTCAATAAGGCTTGATATTAAAGCTACTTATTTGTAGAGCAGATGTCTTGGGAAAGGAAACTATTCCAAAATAAAGTACAATTCCAAAATAAAGTACAGTTTGCACTGTAAGTGAAAAAATCAGATATATTAAATTATTAGTACTCTCTAAAGTACAGACAAGTAAAAAACTTGGGCAGTTTAAGATAAATTCAAATTGTCACTAATACACACTCACCATTTACACGTTGCTCTAAAAAGTCTTAAAAGTAAATTAAAATTAATTATTAACCATGTTTATTAGGCTTTATGACATATACATGTAATAAGAAATTACAGTTAAAAATCATGCTTTCTGAGATGAATTTAACCAGCAACATGATGATGAATATTTTAACTACAAACTGATTAAATTTTGTTACAAAACTTGTTAGAATGTAGCCATTAGAACTCAAAGCAATAATGATAATGCAAGTTACCAAAGATCAAGAGGAAAAATGTTTATCATACCCAATAATTATCCTAGAACGCATTGTGAATTTTATTGATATTTCTTTTCTAACACTATAGTTGTAATTTACTTTTGATATGTAAGAAACTTTCTATTTAAATTAATATTTTGAGCGCTGAATGTTCAGCCAGCGCTCCTGCTCGCAACCATCACATGTCACTGTGATGTCAGGTGTCAAATTGTGACATTTACTTGACATATATGTACAGTTTTAATTTAAAGCAAACAAAAGCAATACTATTTATTAAGCCAAAAGAAAAATTCTAAATCGACTAAAATTTCGATTAATAGTTTCATTCAACTTTTTCAATTTTCAAAACATTCAATTCTGTAAAGCCGTAATTTTATCGATTTCTGTATCATGTGGGAGGCAGGCAGATACTTTGTTGATAGATGTAGGTTTTACTGATTATTTTGAGCATTCTTAACCACCACAAACTGTACGGGAAGGCAGCTATTGTGTGACCCTTCACAACAATGCTGATAACCAGAATGAAATTCTTTTATATTTTTGACTGTGCACTTCAACCAAAGAGATTAAAAGCATTCCGTTACAGTCTATCGTTAGATTCTCGTATTTATGAAGTCAAAAGTCATAATTTTATTGTTGGTTTTATTTTGAAACATTTATAATTTTTAGTACTTACCTATTTACTAATTTTTGAACACTATTTAACAATAAACCAGTTTAAAACATTTTTAATATTGGTTTGGTTTTTGTAAGAAACCGTGAGTTAAAATCTTGATATCATATGGAATCGCTAGGAGGCATAATCGAAGATGTGGTATGAAATAGTGATGTTTCTCTTAGAATTCGCAGCTGCATTGTGTGCTGTGGCGATCTGCGGACCTTGCTTACTCTCTTGTGCTAGACGCGTGCTGTTAGGTGATGAATTACTGCAGAGGGGAGGGCATGTTATCCACGAAGCTGAGGTTTTGGGATGTGACGAGCCAGCATGCCCATATTACAAAAAGAACGTGCAATATCTCATGATGCCAGCATCCAGAAGACGCACGTATACCTCTCCTACACGGCAGCCTTCTTGATTTTATGTTACATATCTGCTATTATTATTTTTTTGTAATTTGATGAGTTTTGTAGCTTTAATAAAGTTTTTAGCGATTTTAGATTTAGTCTGTCGTTGTTGTTTGTTGGTAAGTAATTAGATACGTACCTAATGCTAAGGAGACTAAAGACTAAGAGTCGATCGTCATCACTCAATCAGCGTATGAATGCCCACTGCTGGGACACAGGGCATTCGCTATGGGTGGAATAAAAGATTGGGCCATAACTCACCACCCGCGTCCGTGCAGTTGGAAAGTTCTAGCACGTGCAATAGGAAATATTGCACCAGAAAATCGAAAATCGAATATCTAGTATTTTGTATTGAAATCTTACAGCTTGCCCTATTAGTGAATTATAGCCCTCCTTTTTCCTTTATAGATAGGTTCATGGTCCACAGTGGTATACTGTGGTCCTACCCAGTAGGACAGTAGCAACAGTTCCATGTAGAACTAGCTACATGGAAATGCTGGGAATAAAGCATTCCCAGCATTTCCATGTAGCTACTTCTTTATGCTACAGTGCTATAACTAGTGACTCAAAGTCAGGCAACGAAAAGTAGGTATATGGGTAAGGCCAAACATAATTGTACTTTCTGTATACATATTTTGTCTCTCTCACTTCTGTCGAAAAGCAACGTAACTCCCGAGAGAAGTATAAATTGAATGACCCCAAAATTATGATGCAATGAAAAAGGAAAACGCTGAAAGGAGAAAAAAATAAAAAAAAGATTGCAAAGTGCACCGAAGACGAGAAACAGCTAAAACGTGAAAAAGGAGAGCAGAGAAAGAGAAAAACCCGACTGCTTAATTACTTCGAATAAAAACTGAAAAGAAAAAAACAAGTCTACTGGTCTATTTAGGAATAAATCTACTTTAACAGTCGGGACCCATTAGATATTCAAGGATGGATCAATTTTTTTCAATAATGGGTCCCGACTGTTTAAGTAGCTTTGTTCCTCACTTAACAGAACTATAGACTACTGGACTTGTTTTTTTCTTTTCAGTTTTTAATTGAAGTAATTAAGCAGTCGGGTTTTTTGAATTTTTAAATTTACCTTTTTTATTTTAGACTTTTTAGTTGGGATTATAAGACGGTATATAATGCAGCCTTGTCACTTCAATAAGGGAGTTAATATCAAGCGGATTATTAAGTACCTTGCGGTGGTCAAAACGACACCTTACCATCAAGGTCAAGGCCTTATGGGCCTCAATTTTCGCAAAAATGAGTAAAGTTAAATCTATTCCTTATCCGTATATCTAATGAATGTAAATTATATACTTATCTAGTAATTATTTTCCGTATTTATTCAAAAAGTCATCTTTTGCTTATTTTCTTTTTAGTAGTAAATAAAAAAATCATTTACTTTTATTCGTCGACTATCTAAAATTGGCAGTGGCTATACGCAACTCTAAGATTGTAATATATATAAATGCAGTGTATATCCTTGTCTCATAATTTGATGAGATTATTCACAGAACCAAATATGTAGGTGCCAGAGGTTAAATATTATTATCCTTTACTATCTATACTAATAGATTTTATTATAAAGAGGCAAGAGTTGTATGCGTGTAACAAATAATCTCTCAAACCTGACCCGATTATATGTAGGTGCCAGAGGTTAAATATTATTATCCTTACTATCTATACTAATAGATTTTATTATAAAGAGGCAAGAGTTGTATGCGTGTAACAAATAATCTCTCAAACCTGACCCGATTTCGAAAATTCATTCACCATAAGGTAGCTAGCTACATTATTTAATATATTTTTAAGCATTAATCTTAATAAGTTGATTAATCTGCTCGATTTATAAAACTAAAGAAACTTTTACTTGAAAAATTCTAACAACTTCTCCGAGACGATTTTTTTTCTTTATAACTACATTATTTACAGTTTTTAAGCAATAAAGTTATTATTATTATTATATTCGAGTGACATAGGCTATATTCTATCCTGTTAAAATAAATTTCGCCCATGCAATGTCGGAGTGGATCACTAGTATAATATAATATTATACATGCGAAAGTGATTTTGTTAGGTACGATTCCGTGCCCTAATAGCTAAATCGATTATGATGAATTTCCCTATAGAAATAGATGGGGCCTTGGTTCTAAGCTACATTATCGAAATATCTATAGGGTAAGGGTGATGGGTGGGGTGATTTACCTATAAAACTTTATATTATTTGCTTCCAATTTTGCAGAATTATCTGCAGAATAATAAGAAGTAATATCGTTAAAATAAACTTTGAAAACAGTTTCAATCTCAGTTTTTCATTAAATTAAAAAAAAAATATAAATACCTATTCTGATTTTATTGTTAGTACTTCGTATAGGATTAGATACTGTGAGTAGCACTTTTTTTTCCTCCTAGGTTTTATCTACGTTTATAAACACCAAAATTCATCACTTTTGACACTTCACATCACCCACCATTCCCGCAGATTCCCGCAGTATACTCATACTCCTGCATAGCACAACGCGCTATCACTTTGTCATCGTAACATCGTTGTTACTTTTTAAATATTTGTCGAAATTACACAGAGGAAAAGGCAAAGTTTATCGTCTCTAAATATCAAAAGCGATAAAAGTATTTGTTTTGATAAAAAATAATTTGTTTATACAAAATATGCATTTTGGAAATTTATTTAAAATAATATTTTATTTTTGATTCACTATTTTAGCTATAATGGCTTACACATTAAAAATAGATATATGCTGTCCTGGACTTTCTTGTAGAACTATATAAGAAATACAATTCTATCATACATTATATTCCTATAACTTTTATTGTTTTTGCAGTGCAGGCCAAAATGGCTCGCAGATGGGAGATTTTTTCCGTCTCATGTGACACTTATTGTTATATTTTGGCCAATTCACAAAATAACAACATAAATTATAATCTATATATGCTATTTTTATGTATGAGCTTTATTATTGGTTAGTTTGATCAAAATTCCGTTTAGTATTTTTTGGAGTGAAAGAGTAACAAAGAAACGTAAGATTGAAATTAAAAGCGCAATTGGTTAATATACAACTTTTATTCGTTGTAGATCCTAAACAATCATATAAAAAAAATGGTGTAGGGAGCCTTAACATGAATTTTGATTATCTAGACAATGAAACCCCACTCGACATATTTCGGCAAGTTATTTTTTTTTATTTCTCCCATTATGGCGCCCAGTTGTCTCCATATTGATTTTTCATTATTATGATATCTTTAGTAGCACTCCCTGATTAAGACGAATCGATTGATGTATAAATCATCAAAATCGGTCCACGTGTTTGGTTTCTAGTGTGCCACAAAGGAACAAACATACATATATAGACTGTTAAACACTACCCTGTCTGCGCGTCGCGCTTCGCGCTCTTGCATTGCGCAGGTGGGTAATAAACACTATACCCTGTCTGCGCGTCGCGCTTCGCGCTCTTTCATTGCGCAGGCGGGTAATAAAAAGCGAGTACAAAGCAAGTTATTTGATCGCAAGACTTATTTCACTAATATATTTGCTTAAACGTGCAATGGTGTCGATTCTGACATAATTGTCTAAACCTAAACTTAAATTTGACAAGTGTATCCTTGTCATTCTTTATACAGAATGAGAGGGAGAGACTGATGTTAAATTTAGTTTCATGTTTAGAGAATCATGGCAGAATCGACATCATTATTGTATTAAAAATATGTTTTTTTAATGACACAAGGTGTAACCTTAGGTTTATAATTTCGGTTGTGATACCTTTTGTCTATTGTGTTACCTTCAGCAAAGTGTTACCCATTTCGATTGTGTTATGGTACAACCTTAATCGGCCTTACCCATATCATGATATCAGGCATCTTTTTGGCCATGCGTTTTTATTATCCGTTGTCCCATCAATGGGACGCCCATTGTTGCTATGGAGAAGCGGTAAAAATAATATAAAAAACTAAGTCTGATTTTATGCGTGTCATTTTATACTTCAAGTAACAAAGATACATAAGTGAATGGAAGAATAAATAAAAACATATAATTTAGATTTCTTATTTCTTAAAACATCGCCTGTTTTCTTTAGGAACCGAGCTACATTTATTATTTCGATGATTTCAATAGAAAATTATGATTTCGTTG